CCGCCATGCAGAGCTGTGCCTCCTGGACCTGATTTTCTTTTGGAAGCTGGACCTGGTCCAGCGCTGCAGGGTCACCTGCTTCATCTCCTGGAGCCCCTGCTTCAGCTGTGCTAAGAAGGTGGCTGAATTCCTTCAAGAGAACCCACATGTGAACCTGCACATCTTCGCTGCCCGCATCTATGACTGTCAACGAGGGTATAAAAAGGGCCTGCGCAGGCTGGACAGAGCTAGGGCCCCAATTTCCATGATGAAATACAGTGAGTTTAGGCACTGCTGGGACACCTTTGTGGATCGCCAGGGACACCCCTTCCAGCCCTGGGAGGGACTAGATGAGCACAGCCAAGCCCTGAGTGGGAGGCTGCAGGCCATTCTCCAGGGAAACTGATGGATGATCCTCAGACTCTAAGGAAGGCAGAGACCTGGGCTGAGCAGCAGAATAAAAGATCTTCCAAGAAATGCAATCAGGCTGTTCACCACCATTTCCAGCTGATCACAGACGCCAGCAAAGCAATGCACTCCTGACCAAGTAGATTATTTAAAAAATTAGAGTGAATTACCTTTAATCAAAAATTTATGTGCTATAGTAGTAAGATTGTGCTCAATACAGTCAGAAACGTTTCAAACCTACTAATCTAGTGACAGTTTGAATGGTTTTATATGTAGAGGAATACAATGAAATACTAAATATTTTCATATTTTTCCCTTTGTGATTGTATCATGACTTGCAAGTGTTTACATAAATATTAGCAAATGAAAAAAAAAAAAAAGAAATTAACACACTTCTAAATAATCCCTAGGTCAAAGAGGCAGTCTCAAGGAAATCAGAAAAATATAAACTCAAAAAAATCACAGATTAAAATAAGAATTTTATTCCATTAAATGCTTATATTAAAAAAAGAAATGCCTGTCAACAATCTAAGCTTCCATCTAAAGAGACTAAAGGAAGAAAAGCGTAGGAAACTCAAAGGAAGCAGAAGAAAGGAAATAATAAAGAGCATGTATCATTGAAGTTGAAAGCATAAAAATAATAAAGTCAAAAACCCTGTTTGAAAAGATAAGCAAAATTGATAAAACTACTCAAAGACAAAGACAAAAAGAAGACATAGGTTATTGATATTAGGAATCAAAGAGGGTATATCATCTTAAACCTTACAGACATTAAGTAGATAATAAATATTGTCATGAACTACTGTATGTAAGTTTAACAACATAGTTGGAATGGAATAATTCCCTGAAAACCACAAACTACCAAACTGACTGAAAATGAAAGAGATCACCTGAATCTTATGGCTATTAAAAGAATTAAACCTGTAGTTTAAAACAAACATTAAAAACTATGAAAGATATCTCCAGGTCCCGATGGTTTCACTGGTGAATTTATTGAGAGAAAAATATACTGTAATTTGTGCACATCTCTTTCAGAAAATGTAAGATGATGCAGCACACCCCAGCTCATTTTCTGAGGCTACTACCCAAAGACAGTACAATAAAAGATATCAAGCAGTCCCATGGAATTTTTTTAAAAAGGGGGAAAAAATAACAGTACAAAAAACTATAGACCAGAATCTCTCATAAATATAGAAGCAAAAATTCTCAACAGGGATTAAGAATTTAGTAATGTATAAAAATAATAATATGCCAGAATTAAGTGGGATTTATCTTGGGAATGCACAGCTTATTCAGTATTCAAAAATTAATGTAATCCATGATTTTAACAGTATAAGAAAAATCAACTCATCAGATCAACTGGAAGAAAAAAAATGTCTGACAAAATTCCATACCCATTTATGATTAAAAAAAAAACAAAACTCAGTAAAGTAAAAGTAGAAGGGAACTTCCTCAAACTATAGAGAGTTTCTACCAAGAAGGAAAAAAAGAAATACTACAGGTGTCATCCTACTTGGTAGAAGAAAGCTGAATGTTTTCCTCCTAAGATTGGAAACATGGTAAAGATGTCCACTTTTACTGCTCTTATGGAACACTCTACTAAAAATCTTAGACAGTGTAACAAGGCAAGAAAAACAAGAAAAAAATACAGCTTGGAAAAGAAGAAATGAAACCATTCCTTTTTGCATACAAAATGGTCCCTACATCTAATAAGTGCATTTACCAAAGTCATGATATATGGTCAACACACAAAAATCAACTGTATTTCTACATACTAGTAATGTACAATTGAAAACCAAAAAAAGCTTTTTGAATTATAGTAGCTCCAAAATAAATGAAATACTGTTATAAATCTAACCAAACACTCCGTCTGTATGCTAAAAACTATAAAACACTGTTTAAAGAAATCAAAGAAGATTAAAATAAATAGGCCAGGCACGGTGGCTCACACCTGTAACCTTAGCACTTTGGGAGGCCAAGGTGAACACCTGAGGTCAGGAGTTCGAGACCAGCCTGGCAAACATAGCAAAACCCTGTCTCTACTACAAATAAAAAAAAAAAAAAATTAGCTGAGTGTTGTGTCAGGCACCTGTAATCCCAGCTACTCAGGAGGCTGAGATAGGAGAATTGCTTGAATCCAGTGGGTAGAGGTTGCAGTGAGCCAAGATCCTAACACTGCACCCCAGCCTGAGCAACAGAGTGAGACGCTGCCTTACAAAATGAATAAATAGAGATGTAACATGTTTATGGTTTGAAGACACAATCTAGTAAAGATGTCAGCTGTCTCCTGACTGATCTAAAGATTTCTGATTAAAGATTTAATACAATTCTGCTCAAAATCTCAGAAGGATTTTGTAAAAGATATCAATAAGCTGATTCTAAAATTTATACAAAAAGACAAAGGAACTAGGATAACAAAAACCATTTTGAAAAAGGGGAATAATGTTGGAAGAATCATACATGATCTTAGCAGGGGTTGACATTTTCTGTGAAGGGCCGTTTAGTAAATACTTTTGGTTTGGCAGGCCACATAGTCTCTGTCACAACTATTTAACTCTGTCATCCTAGCAAGGAAGCAGCCATAGATAATATAAAATGAAGTGTGTTCCAATAAAACTGTATTTACTAAATGTGTATAAACTGGATTTGGCCTATGGACTGTGGTTTGCCATCCCCAACTCTAAAGCTGTAACTATTCAAGAAATTATGGTATTAGTAAAAGGATGACACACAGATTAATGAAACAGAACATATAACCCAGAAATAGACCCATATAAATATGCCCAGCTGAATTTTGACAAAAGTACAAAGGCAATTCAGTGGAGAAAGGATAGTTTTTCAACAAATGGTATTGGAACAACAGACATCTATGCACACAAAGACACACAAAGAATCTCAAACTAAACCTCATATATTACTCTCAAAAGTTAACTAAAAATAAATCATAGATCTAAATATAAAATGTAAAACTATCAAACTTTTAGAAGAAAGCATAGGAGGAAATATTTGTGACCTGGGATTAACAAAGAATTCTCCAACTAGACACCAAACGTACTATCCATTTTTTAAAAATTGATAACTTCATCAACTATTATTCCTCAAAAGGCACTGCTAGAAGCCTGAAAAGACAAGCTACATGGGAACAAATATTTCAAGTCACATATCCAACAAAGGAGTTGCATCCAGAATATATAAAGAACTCTCAAAGCTCAACAGTGTAAAAACAGCCCAATTAAAGTGGTCAAAAGACTTGGACAGACATTTCAATAAGGAGATATATGAATAGCAAACAAACAAATTTTATATCATAAGCTATTTGGGAAATTAAAACCATGATGAGATACCTCTGTATACCTATTAGAATGTCTGTAATTTAAAAAGCTTACTGACAATTCCAAGTGCTGGTGAGGATGATGCAGAGTAACTCAACTCTCATTCATTGTTGCTTGAGATGCAGTGCAAAATGGTACAGCTCTTCTGGGAAACAGTTTCACAGCTTCTTATAAAGTTAACATGTACTTACCATGTGATTCAATAATCTCTTTAAGTATTTACACTAAAGAAGTGAAAATGTGTTTACACAAAAACCTGTGCATGAATGCTAGTAGCAGTTTTATTCATAATTTTCAAAAACTGAGAAAAATACCCTTCAACAGGTGGATAAACTGGTACACACATCTGTAATGGAATGCTGCTCAGCAATAAAAAGCAGTGAGCCATTGATACATGTTTAACAACTTGGATGAATATCAGGGCATTATACTGAATGACAGAAGCCAGTAACAAAAGTTTATATAGTATAATTTCAATTATATGACATTCTTAGAGTCAAACCTATAGTTATGGAGAAGATTTCTGTGGTTGCCAGGTTGTATAGGTTGAGGGGGTGTGACTATAAAGTATGTAAGGGAGGTTTTTTTGGCATGATGAAACTGTTCTATATTCTGTTTATAATGGTAATAACAAGAATCTAAACATCTGTTAAAATTCATAAAATGCTATACCTTAACAAAGTCAATTTTAACATATAATTTAAACAGTACAAATTTTAAAATAAAAATATGTAAGTAAAAGATGATGACATAAAATTTCACAAGACAGTAGTATCTCAGTTTTATTTTTTAAAAGATGCATAAAAGAAGTCAAAAGTAGAGGAGCTAAATATCCAGAGAACAGCTCTGGATATTTATATTATTCCATTTCTGTGTTTTGGGGGGATTTTCTACACCAAAAGTGAATTACTTTTACAAGTTTACAAAATTAATCATTTTAATTTTGTAATAACCATGAGTTCAGAGCATCACATTTGGTTTCCGTAATTGTTTCTCTTAAAACTTCATATGTAAAATACATTATTTGTATGTTAAAGTTTAATTTAATTGTTCTTTGAAATGTCTTGTAAAATATTTAATGGTGGAAAAATTAAAAGTGGCATTCTGTATTTTTAAATATAGTATTTAAATGATTGCTATATTGTTAACAGTTTCCAGAGAAATTTTTTAATTACATTTTTTAAAAACTCAGAAATTTGAAAATATTTTCTATAACTTATACCTAACATTAAAATTTTCTTTTTTAATCCTTTTTCCAATTAAAAATCCCATATACTGCAGACAAATAATGGACAGAAGAAATGAACTTGAAAAAGACATCTGTTCTGGATCTTTGATGACTAACAACTGTAATGCAGAAGGTAATGGCATTCAAGATACCCAAGTATTCAAAGTATAGCAGAAAAACTATGTTACAGCTTGCAAGAACTTTCAGTTAATTAATAAAAATAAGAGACTCCTGAGAATTTCTAGTGGGTAAGTTATAAAATAGCTTGTGGTTGACATAAAATACCAAGTTGCCTGATTATTAAAAAGGCTCAATTTCAGTGTTCATACAAGTAAATATAAATTTGGGGATCTTGTTAAAAGTATAGTAAATACTGTAACACAAAGTGGCCATGTAACATATTCCCTAAAAGTGATACCAAAAAAGAAAGCAAGACAAAGTAACAGAGCAATCACTGCCAGCCAAGATGTCCAGCTGAACAGGTGGCATTCAAAGATAAGTAAATTTTCAATATGCAGAAGAAATTGCAGAGATAGAAAATACAAATAATATATAGATAACTGTGAGAGGACAAAAGTAATAAACATTTGAGTATTCTATGTTCCCTTCTCACTATCCCCTAAAAATGAATCTAACTTGGGCAACTCATTTTTTTACCTTTCCCTCTGAGAACAGGTTAACTCAGCTATATTGTCTTTGAGACTCTGAAATGCAAAATTTTGAAGAAACAGAAATACAGAGAAAGAAAGACAATAGAGGCAAGTAGAGTTAACAGTCTTTATATGGAATTTTTCTTCTGGAGCATCTAGGGAAGGAAATACATGAGAGCAACTTCAGCATCTGAGAAAGATGGATAGGAAAGAAAATGAGTTTTAAGAAGTATCGCATAGTGCCAAGCATATAATGAAAACTGTTTTTGTTTTCTTAAACTGAAGTCAAAAGCCTATACAGTCCTAACTCTAATTTAAAATACTGTCACTTCACCTTTTCACTTGTCCTCACCTATGAAATAAAAACTTAAATAGAATGATTCTTATTCAGGACAGGCAGGTGAATAAACAATTAAAGCAATTCTTTTGCCATTAATTATTTTAAGATATCTAATTCTCAGTAGGAAAACATCCCAGACTGTACAGAAATACTCCCAAATACAAGTAACTTAGAGATAATGACAGGCAAGTAATGTGTATTTACAGAAATACAATAATCATCAAGGCATTAGCTGGTGTTAGGACAAGGAAGAATAAGATACCACCAAAAGGCTTCAGTAAACATATAATCTACTTAGGAAGATAATCTAAATAAATGAAATAAATGATATAAGCCTAGTACCAAATGTGTGGTGTATGTACACACTAAGTGCTATAAGGGATGAAAAACATAATTGGAATTTATAAACTCCACAAATTATACTAAATTCCTTGTTTCAAAATGAGAATATGTGAATTCTCATATTTCAGAATGAATGCCTGCTTGTTAATATTCATCAATAATGAGAAATTAGATTGTGGCAGTAATGACAGTTCTCCTCAGCATATAAACTTATATAAGGATGCCTCCTTTTAAAGCATCATTTTGATGCATTGAGCAAAGGTCAGCAGGTATAACGCTTAATCAATTACAGCTTTCTTTCCTGTTGAGCCAAAAAAAAAAAAAAGAAAATGGCCTCATAAAACTTCAACACAGTTCCCTGGGTAACCACCACTAATCAACCAGAATTGGCATTTAGATGAAACTTACTTGCCTTGCTAGTTTAAGGCATCACTTTAAGAACAGAAGGAACAATATAGGCATAGCTACTAATTTGATTTCAGTACATGTATTAGCCATACATGTATGTATGAAAATAATGTGTACTTTCATACTGTTAAGGTTTGGCTTTTGATTTCTCTAGAGTTTTCAGCATTTTAATTTATTTGTTATTATTTTAAGCATTTCTGTTTTTAGTTTTGTAAACAATTTTTATTAAGGTCCATTATTAGATTTTAAAGATAATTGATGTAATCTTTTACTTTAGAAGGAGAACTGGGTGAAGACTGCAGAGAACAGGTAAAACACTTTGTTTATTAATAGACATTTAAATTCTAAGAGAAAAGCCTAATGTTTGTGATTATTTTGAACTCAAGAAATGCTATCTGTTGTTCTACATTAACTGGACTACATTAATTGGTCTACATTAACTACACTAATAGCTTCTACATTAACTACACTAATAGCTTCTAAAAAACCATTCAGCTTTTCAGTATTCCCAAGTTGTAATTATTATTTAAGCTATTTAAAAATAAAATTGTGCATAATATGTACAAATGAAATTACATTATCTTGACGTTGACTCAAAATGATTCAGTAGGGGGAAGCAGAAGGGATATAGGTGAATTAAGAGTAACAAGGAGTTGGCCAGGCTTACGCCTGTAATCCCAGCCCTTTGAGTGGCTGAGGCAGGCAGATCACTTGAGGTCAGGAGTTTAAGACAAGCCTGGCCAACATGGCAAAACCCCATCTCTGCTAAAAATACAAAGTTAGCCAGATGTGGTGGTTGTGTCTGTAATCCCAGCACTCAGGAGACTGAGGCCTGAGAATTGCTCAAACCCCAGAGGCAGAGGTTGCAGTGAGCCAAGGTTGTGCTATGTACTCCAGCCTGGGCAACAGAGCAAAGACTGTCAGAGAAGACAAAAAAAGAGTGGCCAGGAGTTGATAATTGATGAAGCTGGGTATTGCATAATATAGCAGTTTACACATGTCATTCTCCCTTTGGTATATGTAATTATTCAAAATAAAAAATTTAAAAATAAAAGCTGTACAATAATGATGAAATTATCCAACATATTTTATTACTTACATATAATTTTTATAAATGCATATAAAATATCACATCTGACAAGTAGTTCTGAACCCCTGTGTCTGACCCTGACATCGCATCGCAGTTCATTTTGAGAAGAAATAGCAATACCCTGTTATACCAATTTCAGAAAGGCTAGGATTTATTTTGAGACTTCAGTCTGAATGGTAGTCCCACGGTTACTAGCTTTATAACTTTGGGCAAATAATTTCATCTCTCGACCCTCAACTTCTTCATCTCTAAAATAAGAGATAATTCCACACATTCCATGGGATTTTTATGAAGCTCTTTTGTGAACATGAATGTGGTAGGACTTTGCTAACTATATGGAACTCTACTAATGATAGTAATGATCAATATCATTGCTTCAATCTACTTCTTTCTGGACATACCTGCATTAAAAATAAAAATCTTTATTTGCTTGAAAATACAGTTGACTATACATGCCTAAAAATTTAATTTAAAAATTTGCTAAAGCTTCAAGAAACTTTACCACAAATTGTACATATTTTAAATAGCTTATATTTTTAGAATAGTTCTTTAAAAAAATAGTAACATCCTGGCCAGGTGCAGTAGCTCACACCCAACATTTTGTGAAGCCAAAGCAGGTAGATTTCATTAAGCCCAGGAGTTCAAGACCAGCCTGGGCAACATGGCAAAACCCCATCTCTACTAAAAATACAAAAAGGTACACCTGTAGTCACAGCTACTCAGGAGACTAAGAAAGATCACTTGAGCCCAGAAGCTGGAGATTGTAGTGAGCTGAGATCACACCACTGCACCCCACCCTAAGCAATAGAGTGAGACCCTGTCTCAAAATAACCATACAAAAAAAAACAAAACAAAAAAAATCCCGTCAAAACTTTACAGACACATCCACTTGAATACACAAGTGTACATGAAATTTAATCAAGAAATGGGAGTTCCCAAGGATCTTTCTGGAAGGGTTTTTATAGAGAATAAGGGAAAGACCAGTTTGTATACTAAAGTATAGAATGATTTTTGTAATGTAATCTATCACAAGACTGAGTTCAGTTACTAATATAGCTTAAATTCAGATTAGCACTAACTAATACACACTATATGTTCAGTTCTCTGGCTTCTTGTTTAGAAATTGCCATTAAGTACAGATAAGATATGGATCATAACGCTGTAATTATTGCTTGCAAAGCTCTTCTCATTTGAAATTTCCATGTTACATTTTAGTGTTTGTGCATATGTATGTCTTTGCATAATTTTCTATTGCTGTAATAACTATTTTTCAACATATTTCTCTTGATCAGCTCTTTCTCAACTTTTTTTCTCAACCAATTGAATATATTCAACAAAAATAATAGTAAAATATTGTTAGCATTTATCAAGTACTCATTTGTCTGGTTCTGGACTCAGTACCTTATGTTTTAATTCAGTTAATTCTCGCAACAAACCTATGAACAGATGCTACTATTAGCCTCATATGAAGTAATTTTCCATAGTCTCACAGCTTGTAAAGTATAAAGCTGGAATTCCAACCCAAACAGTCTGGCTGTTAGACCAGGGTTTCTGAACCTTGGTGCTATTGACATTTTCGGCCATATAATTCTTTGCTGTTGGGCCATCCTGTGCATTGCAGAATGTTTAGCAGCAATCCCTGGCCTCTATTTACTGAATGCTGATAGTTTCCCCACCCAGTCATGACAACCAAAAAATTCTCCAGACATTGCCAAATGTCTCCTGCAGGGAGGAGGATAGTAAAAAGTCATTCCTAGTTAATAACCACAGCTCTAGAGAAACCCCTACATGACATCACCTCTCTGAAAGCCAAGGATGTGTGGCTTTCAAAAAGGTGATGTCATATAGGTATTTCTCTACATTTCTGACAATATGGAAAGTCAAAAAAAACAAAATAAAAATCACCTTCATCCCACCATTGAGAGAAAACCATTAACATTACCAGTATCTTTGAAGTCCCTGGGGTCCCCCTCCTCCATTATATTCTTCTATTTACTGACAGTCTTAAATTTTGTCTTAACTATTTTCTTGCTTGTCTTTATGGTTTTCACATATTAGTTCCATACAATTTTTTTAAATTTATTGTGCTTTAAGTTCTGGGGTACATGTGCAGATTGTGCAGTTTTGTTACATAGGTATATATATACCATGGTGGTGGATTGCTGCATCCATTGCCCCATCATCTACATTAGGTAATTCTCCTAATGCTTTCCCTCCCCAATCCCTCCCATCCCCTGCTGTAACTCCCCTAGCTTCCCACCCCTCAGGACCCAGTGTGTGATGTTCCCCTCCCTGTGTTCCTGTGCTCTCATTGTTCAACACCCACTTACGAGAGCATGCAGTGTTTGGTTTTCTGTTCTTGTGTCAGTTTGCTGAGAATGATGGTTTCTAGTTTCATCCATGTCCCAAAGGACATGAACTCATCCTGTTTTATGGCTGCATCATATTCCATGGTGTATATGTGCCACATTTTAAAATCCAGTCTATCACTGATGGACATTTGGGTTGGTTCCAAGTCTTTGCTATTGTGAACAGTGCTGCAATAAACATACGTGTACATTTGTCTTTATAAGAGAATGATTTATAATCCTTTGAGTATATAGCTAGCAATGGGATTGCCGGATCAAATGGTATTTCTACTTCTAGATTCTTAAGGAATTGCCACACTGTCTTCCATAATGGTTGAACTAATTTACACTCCCATCAACGGTGTAGAAACATTCCTATTTCTCCACATCCTCTCTAGCATCTGTTGTCTCTTGAGTTTTTAATGATCACCATTCTACCTGGTGTGATATGTATCTCAATGTGGTTTTGATTTGCATTTTTCTAATGACCAGTGATGATGAGCTTTTTTTCGTGTTTGTTGGCTGCATAAAGTGTCTGTTCATATTCTTTGCCCACTTTTTGATAGGTTTTTTTTCTTGTAAATTTAAGTTCTCCATAGATTCTGGATATTAGCCCTTTGTCAGATGGGTAGGTTGCAAAAATTTTTTCCCATTCTGTTGGTTGCCAGTTCAATCTATTGATAGTTTCTTTTGTTGTGCAGAAGCTTTTAAGTTTAATTAGATCCTGTGACTGGGTTCCAGGGCATGGAGGAGGCTCAGGTCCCCGCTACGATGTGTTCTTCCAGGCTCTTGGTCCCTCACTCGACAAAGAATGGGAGAGAGGACCCAGCCGGGCACAGTGCACTAGTAAGTAAATATCGGACCCCAAAGAGTTTTGCAGAAAGTGATTTAATTAGGCAGAGAGAGAAAAAGGAGAATGAAAAAGAGCTTCCACGAGGTTGTGGAAGGGGATCCAGATATGAAGTCCACCCAGATGTGGGGGACAGGGACTTATAACCTGGGAGAAATTCCCACCCCATTTAAGTTTCCTGGCCTATGAAAGGATTTCCTTTAAACTTCCACTGGAGTGACTGATCTTTGATTTTTTTTCCCACATACGTGAAAGTTAAAGACCTCTAAGTCCCCGGATGGAGACATGGGTGGAAGTATGGCACTGGTAAGTTCTTGCCTTTGAAACTGCACCCCTTGTGGACCCAGGAAGAGAATACATTCCCTCGGTCCCCACTCTAAACAGGAAAGCCCGAATCCTGTTGGGACACAGGGGCCATTGATTGCTCTTTACTTCCTGCTGAAATGGGGCATAGAAGGGGCCCTGCAGTTGAAGTTTCCTCCAGAGGGGAGTCTTTCAGGGATACAGGTCAACCCTGAGGTCCACGATAGAGCTCATGAGCGAAGGACATCTGGCATTCCAATTGTAGGCTTATTTATGACCTTATGATTCTAGAAGAAATGAATGTGACAAGAAGGTTAAAGATGAAAAGTCCAAAGGCAAACAATTATAGAATGGTTATAAACAGGCCTAGGAGAGGATATAGCCAGGACAGCCAATTGTTAAAACAAGCTCCATGATACTATTTGTTGGAGGTTTTTAGTCCTGTGTTTGATTCCTGAGTTCTTTAACTTTGCCTAAAACAACACTTAATTGGTTTACAAAGTAGCAGCACTTCTTCCTAGAAAGAGACAGGTTCCCTCTTTCTGTATTAGCATATTTATAGCCCTTACTTTGAAGAACTATGACAGCTAAAGAGTTAAGCTGTTTTGCAGAGTGACCTGCCTTTGCAGAGAGAATTAACAACCTTTTTATGTTACTAATTAACTCCTGAGATAGCTTATAGTAACTGAATAAAGGTAGTAACTTTTCTAATGCCAGA